CAGGATATGTGTGTGTGTGTGTGCGTGTGTGTGTGTGTGTGTGTGTATCTCCAAGATGAGCATAGGACAGTATTTAGGAATAATCTCTCACTGTAATAAATGACATATGTTTTTTTTTCCTTTTCTTTTCTTTCTTTTTTTTTTCTGATCAAGACATTAAGAATGAACCTGTGGAACTTGACCCGACTGAGTGACTGGGATGAAGAAAGGGCAAACACACAGACAGACACATGTACAGAAAAGCTGGGGTCAGGTGTGTCACATGCACTCTGATGTGGTGACACTGACCACTATTCAAAAAACCTAGAACATCAGTGTGCTATGTAGAGCACACTAGCTAATCCAGGTAGCAGGTGTCTCTGGGCTGCAGTCTTAGCCTATAAACATCTGGAGGGGGAAGCTGCAGCTGCTGGAATGTTTGCACACTCCCACATTTGACTCAGACTAGAGAAGGCTTTGCCCTCCCTCTGAGCTTCCTTCTGCCCAGTGATGGGGGAGAAGGGTTTGCCATTCCCATGGGTCTGAGGTATTGCATCCTTGACATCACTGTGCCCATATCAACAATATACACTGACTTAAGACTTCATCTCCTCTTTACACATTTAAGGATAAATGTGTAAAGTGTTCCTAGCCACCACCACCCCCTGCATAAAACCAACCAACCAATCAACCAAATCTTACTCAACCAACCAACCAACCAACCAACCAACCAACCAACCAACCAGATAACCAACCAACCAGATAACCAACCAACCAGATAACCAACCAACCAATCAACCAACCTACCTACCTACTTACCAAACAAATTCCTCTTGTATCAGCAGCATCTGTCTTTGTGTCAGTTTTTTTCAGAGCACTGTGGAAAATTCAATGACACATTTAGTTGCTCTTGGGCCATGGAGATTCTGTTTTTCCTGCAGGGATAGTGTTGGGGAAACATTTGCAATTCTAGTTTTTTGAGTGCCATTGATTCACCTGACTTAGAGTTTCTATTGCTGCAATAAAACACCATAACAACAACAACAACAACAAAAGCCAGTTGGAGCAGAAAGGGTTTATTAGGATTGCACATCACCAAAAGGAAGTCGGGACAGGAACTCAAGCAGAGCAGGAACCTGGAGACAGGAATTTATGCAGAGTCCAATGGAAGGGCTACTTACTGGTTTGCTTCCCTTGGCTTGCTCAGGCTGCTTTTTTATAGAACCCAGGATGACCAGCCCAAGGATGGCACCACCCACAAATGAGCTGGGCCCTCCCCCTTGATCTCTAATTGAGAAATGCCTTAAACTGGATCCTATGGAGGCATTTCCTCAACAGCGGATCCTTCCTCTCCTATGACTCTAGCTTGCATCAACTTGACATAATACCAGCCAGTACATCACCCTTTTCTTCAACATTAAGTACTTTTTAAGCTGAATTAAACATGGATTATGTAGAAAATTTCCATTTAATTTTCTTTTTTAAAAATAAGTTTCCATAAGTAGGTATAATTTCTTTATTTTCTTCATTTATTCTGCTTAAATTATTCAGGGGCTATGTTTTGGGGCTTAATTAGGCAAAACATTAATGACCCTGGTGAAAATGAGCAAGAACGGCTGTGTTTATGTGAGAGCCATTTCTGTGAGATTCTATTTTCTAGAGCAGGGGAGATACTTATTTGTTAAAACTATTGACCCAGTTGAATTGCTGAAGATTCGTTATTGTCTTGCAGGTGGGGTCCTGGATTAGAGGTTTATAGCACCAAAGGCCTCTAGCTGGTGAAATTTTGAGTGAGGCCTTTAAAGGAAGCAAGAGCAAGTCAAGGATAAAGAGTGTGCCCCAACAAACTCGGAGCTGTGGATCACCACTTTGGTGATAATTGGTTACTTAAATGGTCATTACTTGAAGGTGATGAAGGATAGCAATTTAAAAAGTCAAACCCCAAAGCTACCTTTTCTGATCTGATCCAATTTTTTCATTGCTTATATTTCCCCTGTGCCTCTCGCTAAATCCATCACATATGGGGGAAAAGATAGAATGGAGAATTAGGCAGATGTGAATTGATATTCTGCTCAATTATGTGAATGTTGATACGTTATTCAAACTTTGGGAGGTAGAAATCCGATCACAATAACGTAGGAAATAGCAACTACTGTTGCAAGAATTAATGAGGCCAGGAAATATAGGATCCCCATTACCCAATCTAGCATGAGGAAATGGGATCCATTGGTTGCTGGGTTGCTTGATATAATCCTTGTATCTGGAGTGGCCCAGGAGAAGTGTACAGCAGAGTGGTGCACTGTACGTACAAACAGCATGCCTAGAAGTTCTTGTGATCTAGGTATTTTTAAGATACATAAGAAGATGTATCTTAAAAATACTTGTATTTACTCTAGCCCTGACCCAAGCAAGTCATATCATGGCTTGACGGGCATTTCAGAGCCTTGGAAAGTAGGTGAAGACAGAGACATTTTTGCATTTATGAAACATTGACCATGTGTAGCATATTGGGTGTCTCATATTCATTTTTCACTTCTTGTAATGACCTTATGCAGTGGATATAGTATTGCCTAATCAATTACTCCCAAACACAGTGATTTAATGGAACGACCATTTATATTTTTTAATTGTCAGCTGGACAGTTCTGATGCGTGCCCAGCTTGGCTGATCTTGCCTGAGCTTGCTCATGTGTCTGTGGGCAATGTGTGGGCCATTTGTACCGACCAGGTTAAAGTAGCATTAGCTGTCTGGGACAGCTCAGCTATCCTGTATCAATGTAGACCAGCATCTCTGACTCTTCTGCAGGTTTAGCCTGAGTTTCTTCTTATGACAGGCAGGAGTCCAAGAAAGAAAAAACCAATCAAGAATGTTACTGTTTAGGTCAAAGCAAACCACACAGCCAAGCTAAAAGTTGGAGTAGAAGAGGGATCAGCTCCAGAGAGGTGTGGCTAAACAGAAGCTACTCTAGAGCTTGATCTAGAAATGTTCTGTTCTCCACAAGGAGGACTTGCCATGTTGTGCCATTTGGTATGTGCCCTAGCCCTATTGTGTTTCTCTGTGCTATCCTTTCCTGATCATTTCCTGCTTGGGGATGTTTTATAATTAATTCTATGTTCTACTTCTCATTATTTGGTCCAAATTTGAAACTTCATGTCAAATATTTGGGACCAGTTGACTTTAACAACAGTTAGCATAAGGACCTCCAGGGATGGAGTTCAGTCAGTAAGGAGGTTCTTATTTGAGTAAACAAAGGGAGTAAATATCAGCCTGATGGGATGGAGCACAAAGGAAAGAAAATGAGCCAATTTTACAGTTCTCTCCTTCACTGGCTTCTCTGACTTTGCATAGTCAGCATCCACCTCTGCAGGGCATTCTTTCTGGATCATGACTTTAAAATCTGAGAAGGATGAGGTCTTGATGTTGGCCTGGTATTTAGTAGCTCTTTTCCTTGGGTGAAAGAGTGACCTTACTTTGCTAAGCTCCCATTTCCTCCGGAAACAAGAGCAATAGCACAGGTGTTGCTTCTGGGACTCAAGGGGAGTTGCAGGCAAAGAGCACAGCCTGGGCTGAGCCTCCTGCAGCCACTAGGATTTGCAGCTGTTCACAAGCACCTCTTGGTGTCTCAAGTGTTGAAGTCTGTTTTCACCACCACAGGGCTCCCAGTGTGTTGCCAGGACCACACAGGGAGGCTGGGCAGCAGAAGGCTCTTAATGTATTTTATGGCTTGGTTGAGTACTCCGAACTACACTTATTAATTATGAGATGCTGTTCAGTCAGTGTTGCAATATACACATTTGGCTAATTGATTTGTACAGGCTCGCATCTAGCAACATAAAGAATGTGCAAGACCATAACGTGGAGACCTTAACTGCTTTCATCCCCTTTGGTTTCTCCAAGAGGGCCAAAGACCCAGGGTTCTTTGTTGCCTAACCTGGCATCCACAATCGTTTAGTGCTCATGAAATGTCTTGAACGAACGATGAACGAAAGGATAATTTTGTTTGTTTCTGTGCTTTTCTGTTTACCTCATTTCTCAATTACATATGACCCTTGGATCGTGAGAAAATAGCACACCTATGGAAATACAGCCAGTGGTTTATTCAGAGCCATTTGTTGATTTTGCTTGGAACCTTCTTGATCCTTTGGAAGCCTGAGTCCTGAGTGTGGTCGGGAGTGTGGAGAAGGATATGAACCCCACCTCCAGGGACAGTGTTCCCTGGGTTGAGATTTTAGAAGGCATGGCACCAAATGACATACTCTTTACCTAGGTAGTGACAATGTAAAGGTGGCAACTTCTGAGGGGGAAGTTTGAATGTGGTTCCCACTGCAGACTTGAAGGTTGCCTTTTCTGACTTTAGTTAGTCCCTTTGACTCCAGCAGTGGCTGTCCCTGCTTCACTGAAATGGCGCAGAGCCCAGGCATTGCTACGCAGAACCTAAGCGATCTCTGCCCTACAACTCCTAGAGGCACTGGCGTTTGCTGCTCTAGCGAACGCTTGGCGCCCTCCCCAGACCAGGCGACATAGAGCGTCCATCCCTAGACCATAGCCAAGGGCAGGGCCCGTAGAGACATCATCCTGGCCCCTCCACAGGGATGTCGGCTCAAAGGGCGCATCACGGTAGGTTCGTCAGCATCTCGGCAGAAGGTCCTCAGGCTGCGGGTGATCACTTGGTGGTGGCGCTCTCAGTGCCTCGCGGCAGCAGTTTGAAGAACCGCAGGAGGGACGCCAGGCCCCAAGGCTCCCCTGGAGCCTCCTGCAAGGGTCCCTCCCAGCCCCCCGGAGCCGGCGCCTGACCGAGCCAGATCACGCGAGCAAGCGGCAAAGGGGATGGCTGAGGAAAGTTGGGGGCCGGAGCTGCGAGGCGGGGGAGCGCGCAACCCCGCGCCAATGTCCGCGTCTCATGAATATGCACGAGCCACCTCCCTCCCTCCGTGACGTCACGAGCCGTCCCGGGGTGAGCGCCGGAGCCGCTCCGGGTCCGCGCCAGTGAGTGCTGCTGTTGCCGGCGAGCGAGCGAGCGGCGCGGCGAAGGGCAGCAAAGGCGGTGGGTGAGGGCGGCGGCGGCGGCTCCTGAAGCGCACCCGGCGGCTACAGCGAGGCTGCGCGGCAGGCACCAGCGGACACCGGCGGACACCGGCAGGCGAGGCCGGCGCGGGCTGTAGGCGTCGGCAGCAGCTCGGTGGCGGCTCAGGCGGCGAGGATGCTGCCGGGGAGGCTGTGCTTGGTGCCGCTCCTGCTGGCGCTGGGCGTAGGGAGCGGCGGCGGCAGCGGCGACGGCGGGGACAGCCGGCGGCGCCGCCTCCTCGCGGCGAAAGGTGGGTGCTGGGGAAGTTTGTTCCTCTTCAAGAAGGAGGCAGGGCGGGCTCGAGGGTGGCAGACCCCAGGCTTACGCGTGCAACACCCACCCTTTCTTGTGGCAGCTTCGGCTTCTGCGCGCACAGTCCTCGAAGTCAGCGCCCTAAGCTGTGGACCCAAGGGGTTCTCCAGCCCAACCTCTGGGCGGGGTCCTGGCGCCACGGAGAAGGGGAGGTCTATGGAGTACAGAGAACTTTGGGGACCCTGTGAGCTGGGGTGGGAGCATCGCAGGCTTGGCTCAGGGATGCTTGGAGTAAGGCAGGACATGGGCGCTGTAGCGGGGCTTGGAGGAGGGGCGGGTGGATGAAGCAGGTGTCTGTCTGTTTCTGCCTTGGGGGCAAGAACCAGGGGTGTCTTCAAAGGAGCGAGCCGAGCTGGACTGGTACATCGGCTTGTGGATGGCGTGGGAACTTGTAGGCTCCTGAAAGCCTTGCCCGCACCCCGGCGCTCCGCGGGCTCCGCAGCGCGGGCTCTGGCTCCCCTGGGAACGCACGCCCTCAAGATGGGCAGAGTCCGGAAGAAGCGCGGAATGTGATGGTTCCTACTGCGGCTCACACTCTGCTTTTCTCCGGAGGTCCGAGTCTCCGAGCCCAGAGCTCCGCTCTGGTCTTTCTAATTGATCTTGACCTCTCTAATCCTCCAAGATTCTCCTGAAAGCTGGCGTTATCGTGGAACCTAGAAGCCGGCAAGCCCCAGACTTTGACTGCTGTCTGGGAGCGCTAGGAGAAGCGCAGGTTGGGGAGCCCGCATCTGGAGGGCGGGTCTGGAACAGAAGGTCACGCGGTAGCCTATGGTTGGGAAGCATCATAGGAGCCGAATTGGGGCGGATGATGGTGGGCTGGGGAGGCTGTAGCGGATTGCTGGACGGAGCGCTTGGCTTAAGTGGTAACTTGTTGATTCTCTGCGCTATTGACGAGGAGGGCATACTTTCGGTTTCTGCCAGGTGAACGGGGAATATGTGGTCCTTTGAATTCTGTCTGGCGATATTTTGAAGACAGAGTTTTTGTCCTTGTTGGAAAAACATTCACAAGTAGAGACAGCTTGATTTAGAGGCTTGCTAGCCCAGCTGGGATGGAGCTCACAGCAGCCTGTATCTCTCCGGAGACTGGAGAGTTGGGGAAGCAGGCCGTTCCATTTGCCTTGTCTGGACTTTGAGAGCTACCTCTCCTGTCATTTGCAAGTGATAAATTTGGGAAGAGAGGTATTCCCATTCTTTTTAGTCTATAAATTTCTGGGGACATAATCTGGAAAAGATTTTATGCACAGGTGTCCTTCTAACATTCACCTCTCCTCATTCCTTAACAAGGAATTTCTTTCTTCTTTCTTAATTTTTTTGTTCTCAAAAATTAATCATGAAAATGTCTTTTTTAAAGTGTTATGGTAAAAGGTTGTCTGTATGAAGGGACCAATGTGATATGCTGTTGTTCTGGTAAAGAATAAAAAAACGAGTGTCCAAACAGTCTGTTCTCCTTCCCGTACGGACACTTTGATAGGCAGGCAGATTTCATTCTTCCGAGGTCGTCTATCACATTGCTGCAAGTAGAGAGCTCGCAGTGAGTAAGGGTTAGGGAAGGAGTAATTTGGGAAGAGAACTCTGTGTGTAACACATTGCTGAGTTCACTGAGAACACGGCATGAGAGGAGCGGGAGAGAGTGGAAATCAACAACAAATGCAGGCTTCCACAGACCTAGATTACGTGAATAATTATGTAGAAAATAATCTAGATCCGTAATTTTATTCACTTAGAATATATCCATTTCACGTTTAAAGCCATTTGCCATTCTACTGTAAAAGTTTATTGGCCTTGAGAATGGGAGCTACTCTGGATTCTCCTTGTCTTTCTCCTTCAAACCACAAGGGGGCTGCAAAGAGCACCATTTATTTATTTATTTATTTATTTATTTATTTATTTATTTATTTATTTATAAACAAGTAATATTTGGTCACAACAGACACATTTATTATAACAGTTTACTTAACATTTACAGGGCAGGCTTTTTTTTAATTTCAGTGCACTTGAAGTTCACATTTCTAAATCATATAATCCCTGAGGACTATTTGGGAGGAACAATACAACTGAGTTTTGCATGTAATAACACACACTGCCTCTGATAGCTCTGTTTTTAAGGTTTCTATCGTTTCTGTTCCCACCATCAAAAAGGAGAAGGCTCAGGAGGGCCCGTGAGAGAGACTGAACAGAGGGATTGCTGTCTTTCTAGGTGCACTTCTGAGTTCACAGGGAGAAAGAAGACAACCGGGAGAGTGTGTGTGTGTGTGAAGCTGCCATGCTGAGTGGTGCAGACCTCCTGAGTTGTACACACCCTCTGCACAACTGTTTACAAGTGTTCCCCTGGTCTCTAATGCCTGTGAGATGGTGGGTCTGTATAGCAATGTGTTCTGCCTTTGCATTTCTTACTTCTTGGTGCAGGAGACCTAGACGCTAACTCCTGACCACTGCTGGGGTTTTCCACCTAATGTTGAGCTTACAGTGCAACCGTGTTCCAGAAGCAGACATGATGAAGTAGCTGGGCAGTTAGAACTGCTTCTTCATCCTCCCATGCCTAGGAAACACATAAAAAACAATCCCTTCTTGGATTCCTTAAAGCGACCAGGTTATATACACATGTACTATGAGCAATGCTTGGTAACTGTTCTAGAGAAAGGCACAATGTATCAGAGAAAGATGATGAACTCCAGACAGTTACCTGAAGGTTTACACTAAGTTTAATAAAATGCCAGTGGTCTCACAGCCTCAAGGGCTCAGTATATATTCTCTTTCTAGGTGCCAGACTTCAGGCATAGAGATCATTCAGCACAGTCCTTGAGTATATAGACTGTCAGTTACTACAGGCTAACCTGGTGAGCATGTAAACAGGCCTGTGTGTGAGGTGGGAATCAGAACTTGCTTATACCTGTGGAAACCAGCGTTCTGGCTCAATGAAGCAGTGTTATTCTTTCATCCACGGACTGGAAACAACCACCTTTGAATACTGCTCAGTATTACACATTGCACCACCTGTCCTGAAGGGTGTGATGTACATTCCTGCAGAGAATTGTACTCAATCATCCTGGGCAAGTAGCACATGGCTCTTAAACGGGCCATAGAGTTACCTCTCCAGCTGAAACACTAAGGCCCAAACATTTCTCAGCACTGAACCAGAGTATACTCCATCCCTAGTCACCTCTGGTCTTACAGTTAGAAGGTCTTCCTCAGCTGTATTCTCATTATTACCCAAGTATGGTCACACGGCAGCATGGTCTTCTCTAGGAACTTTCCCGGGATGGCCCCTCCCAGAAAGGCATGCCTCTGCCTCAGGCGTGCCGATCCCAGACTGATCTGTGGGTGTTAGAGCTTCTCTGTACTGCTTGGGCTGGCCTTCAGTTGTGCGATGAGCAGCCAGGAGTGTACACAACTACATGCAATCCGGGATAGTATCCTTTTTTTGACATAAACATTTAGATTTTTTTCTTGTCCTGAAAAGTGAAAGTTGAGTGTAGCTGCCAGAGAAACTTGACTTTGAATCTCGGCCCAATTATTCTCTCATTAGATGATATTAGGCAAATGAATTCATCCTTCGAGCTTTGGTTTCCACATCTATAAAGTGGAGCTACCGAGCCCTGTCTCCCAAGCTGGTTGTCATAACAGTATTCAGAAAGCTTCTATTTTAGATTGTGGAGTAAAGGACACAGAATACACAATAACTTTAATTATTAATCCTCAAAAACCTGGTTCTAGTAGTAACCAACTTGGTGAAACTTTCCTTGTCTGACTTCTTTGAAATGGAATAGCTTTGTCTAATCAGCTAAAACTCAATTCTCTCTGTCTTTTAGTTTCCCTTTGTATGAGGACTGTGCATGTATGAGCAAATAACACATATACATACAAACACACATGCACATACACACATTTGATGTAACTTGTGAAACCTCTTTCATCCTTTATGGCTCTGTGAATGCCTTTGCAACTACCGTTTAATGGCCAGCCTGAAACTTCCTGCAGAACGAGCTGAGAGTAAGGTTTGGGAGCGTGTTATGCACATATAAATAAGCAAGTGTATCTTTATGTGCAAGCACCAGCAATGTGGGAGGCTCTGGCTTCTGGAGGAGTAACTCATGTGGTGTGATTTGGCTTATAAAAGCGGCTCATCAGCCAGGTTGCTACTTGCCTCCCAGCTTGCAATCCTAGACAGCAGATAAGTGGTCCTCTTCATCAATGGCATGCCCCACATCTGAGCTGATTTGTACTTTCAGGGATGAGGGTGACCCAAACCATGATGACCGAAACACAGCTTGGGACTCATTATCACATTCTTCATTATTACTTAGCTCTCAATAATTGGACCCTGTGGAAATGGTTCCATCGGAAGATTAGGTTTTCAGGAAAGACCACTGGGAGGCCTTGGAACCCATTGAACTGAAGCCACTGACACTCTGCAGTGCAGAGGACAGAGGGAGCTGTGAGGGAAGACACAGACAGGAGGTCAGAAGGATGCCTGCGATGGGAGTTAGAATTATCCAAATATGCCGTGGGCTCTGTTATTTAGCCTGAGCAGTAAATGCGGTTTCTGGACTCCATTTTCCTATCTGAGAAGAATCAAGACAATAACACAAACTCCAAAACAAGAGGTAGATTGTTCTTAGAGCCCCGATGACCTGTAAGGGAGGAGGAAATTGACAAGGTTAGAAGTCTGGGGAAGCTTAGTGGAGAAAATGAGAGGAGTCTTGATGGGTAAGTGGAGACTGGGTGAGTAGAGAGGGGTGAGTACAGGACGAATGCAAAGTAGTAGGAAGGCCCCCAGCTCGAGGACTGACCAAGGTGAAGAGCAAGCGCACACAGCACTGACTCCCCTGCCTGCACCCAGGATCCAGAGCTGATAGAATAGTGCATGCTTATTGAAAGCATGCTCCCTTTCTGATGCTATCTTAATGTGATTGTCACAATTTGACCCTCATACGAACT